TTTTACTTTCATCTTTTTCATTTTCATTTTTCCTTCTTCAGATCTTGGGTTTTTCTTCCATTTTTATTGGTATTTCAATTTTTCACTTTTTCTTTTTTATACTCTACAATATATGGTGCACTTTTTTTCTAATGGACATTGAACTTTTTTTAGCATACGGTGAACTTTTTCAAATGCACACTGAACTTTTCTTAGCATGCGTAAACACTTTTTAAAAATACACATTCAACATTTTTCTCTATGAAGAACATTTTTTGTATATACATTGAACATATTTTAGTATATGGTGGACATTTTTTAATACACACCGAACATTTTTTTCATACACACAGAAATTTTACTCCCTCCGTTCCCAAATACTTGTCTTTCTAGGCATTTTAAATAGACTCAACATACGGATGTATGTAGTCATATTTTAAAGTGTAGATTCACTCATTTTGCGCCGTATGTAGTCACTTGTTGAAATCTCTAGAAAGACAAGTATTTAGGAACGGAGGGAGTATAATTGAAAATATACTTTTCTAATTTTCAATAGGTTCTAAAAAAGAACTGTTGGTTTTTTGGGCGGAAAACTAACTAAAAATCCGAAGAGGAAAAAAACGCTTTGGTTGATGCACACGAGCACAACTAGGAGAGAGCTCCTATTTGACACATTTTGCGTCAAAATAGTCTCAGGCAGACGCACAGACCCTGGCTGGGTGTACCTTTAGTGGCTGTTGTAGCGAGCGCCCCCATTCACCTGCTAGGAATCGAAATTCGGACCTCTGGCAGGTAAGCGCACATGTTTAAGAACTAAGTATAATGCAGAATTCAGAAAACTATATTCTTAGGGAAATTGTGAAAAAATATTGATAAAACAATAATGTTTGAAAAACCAATAATCTTCATGAATAGCTTGAATTTTTTTTGAAATTTTTCAAAAAAAATAGAGCGTGTTTTAACAAACATTTGAAGATATTTCGCAAAATTATTTTTAAAATCTTGAACATTTGTAAAATTCTGGGAACAAAGGTTTTCAAACTAAGAACAATTTGGAATTCACGAATAAAATATGAACACGTTTTTGGTTTTGTGAACAAAATTTTGAAACCAAGAACAATTTGGAAACCTAAATTTTTTTGAAAATACAAACATTTCCTGAATACATGAACAAAATTTTGAAAAGGCCAACCATTTTCACATCTGTAAAAAATAAACTCTAAACAAAATTTGGAAAAGGCAAAAAAATTCAAAAATTTCCAACATTTTTAAATAATGAATATTTTTAAATATATGAACAAAAACTAAAAACTAGAACATTTTTGAACTTCTGATTTTTTAAAAGTGCAAAGATTTATTTAATTCCCAAACATTTATTGATAAAGTGAACATGAATTTTAGAATAAAATTTAAAAATAGGATTGTTTTAAGGTTTTCAATGGTCTATGAAAATTGCAAACTTTTTTTAAATGTATGATATTTTTTAAACATAAACATGTTTAAAAAATAAACTTGAAAAAACAAAGGATAGAAGAAGCGAAAAAAAAAGAGAGAGAAAATAAAAAATAAACAGGAAAAGAAACCAAAAAAGAAAAAAAAATGTGGTTCTAAAACCTTCTGCAAGGTTCCCAAAACCGGAAACCCTTAAATGCTTAAGGCAACGGCCCACCTCAGGACGCTCGCTCGATTATCTATGCATAATCCCAACAATTTGCCACAATGTGGGCAAATAGGGGTTTTTGTGTTTCATGTCATAACATGTTTAAAGGTTGTTTCATATCATAGCATAAGCTTCACGAGAGCAACTAACTAAAGGTTACCCTTTGCGGGGGACCTTCAGGGTCACTTTTGGTGACATGGGAGCACGTCAAGTGGTGCGTTCAGCCATCGCGTATGTAATGTGCTTGACGCTCCCTCTGAGTTTTGTTGTTTTGATTATTATTTTTTTGGTACGTGTTTTTCTGGTTTTAGATGGGTTTTCTCTTGGGGTTCCGTTTTCGCCTTGTCATCTGTGTGTGCGCGCGCGCGCATAAAATATATTATGCTTCCGCGAGAAGCCCGTATTTGCATCTTGTAGAGGCACAAATTTGATTTTGTAGGAAGCATAATTGTGCTTCTCGAAAAAAGAAAAAATGTGCTTCCATGATAAACACATATTTGCCTCTTGTGGAGACACAAATTTTCTTACACGACAAGCACGGTTGTGCTTCTTAAAAAGAAAAAAAAATAGTGCTTTCACGAGACACATATTTGCTTGCTCCTCGGGAAAAAAATGTGCTTTCACAGGAAGCATAAATTTATTTCTCATGAAAAAACATATTTGCGTCCTCTAGAATCACTGCTACGCTTCTCTGGAAAAGGGGGGAAGATCTGTGCTTCCACGAGAAGCACATATTTGCTTCTCG